CCCGACCCGACCCGAATTTTCGGGTCGGGTTCGGGTTGGCTATAACCCGACCCGAACCCGACCCGTTCGGAGCACTAATCTTTACCATATTTTTTAAAGCTTTAAATTTTAAAATGAATCGATTTTAGTCAAAGATTTTGATTAGGTTTGTGATTTATTTGGAATCGTTTCTTTAACAAATAATAATACAGATTATAAATAAATTCATAATTATCTAAAAAAAAAATACGTTTCTTATTTCTTCAAGCAAATCACAAAACTATTTAAACTTGTTTGACATTTTCAATCTTGAACTTTTGATGTACTAGTCTGTTTTTGATAAAACAATTATCAAATGTTCGTCTTGAGACGATTCTAACAAGCCAAATATCAATTATTTGGTCAATATATAATTAAGGTTTTTGCAGAGGTGACGCATCTGTAGGGTGAGGAAATTGGCTAACCATGGTCTAACCAATATCCCCACTCTATAGATGCGTCACCTCTAGTGACCCAATAATTGGATTTTGATAATACTGGGCTTGTTAGAATCGTCTCATCAAGACGAACATACAGACTAGTACATCAAAAGTTATTCAAGATTGAAAAAATGACAAATTACATCTATTTTAATACAATTCCAAAAATCAGTTGATATGTTTAAATCGCGGTTTTTAATTAGATTATGGCATTCATTATAGGTTTTGGATTCAGGTTTGAGATGGCATAAATTTCGGTGCGGCTCTAGTTCTACGTCATGTTCAAAGAATATTTTATTTCTCATTATATACTATACTATCTACTTCTGCTATTGTTACACTAACGCTCACAACATGCGAACCCTGCTTGATTCCATAGTACTTATTGCTTTTGTAACTCTAATTAATAACGATAAGCGATGACCAAAAATTCTGACGCACTCACGTGAAAAAATATTATTTATTAAGCAACTTAACAATATCGATATCCCAATTTGATTGGTTTGCATTTATTTATCTATTAAGGTTAACGTTAAGCAAATCAGTTTTCGTTTGTAATTGAAAAATGTAGCACGTGCTAAATTTTAGTAAAAACTCAATTTTCGTTTCTGGACCCTTTTACTCGACGCATCTAAAATGTAATAAATTTGTGTCAAAAAAATACCTTTTCCAGTTATTCATAATATCCTGAGAGGGGTCAGAGACATCTTATGTTATAATAATAATAAAAAATTTTTTTTACTATGATAGCTAATATAGATATCTTACCTTGGGGGTGGGTCAGCTAATATTACGTAATACTCGCGACTCCCCTTAATGTAAAGAATTAAGGCTCCTTCTTATAAAGTTTAGGTGGTAGATAAAAATTAAATTGAAAAGACTGGCCCTTGGACTGGGACCAGTGTTTAAAATATTGTATCAGTTAAATTAAAACAATCGTGTGGTTTTTGAATCAGAATCAATTTTAACCGAGTGATTTCCATAAACGTGTTGTTTTGATTTGATTCCCGAAAACGAGTTAATATTTTAATTCAAAACGCGTTAATTTAATTCTTAGCGGGGTTGTTTGACGTGATAATTTTAAGGATATTTCTATCGCGCGTGAAATTTAGAAAACCGCGAATTGCCATCACTACACTACCTCCTGTAAAATAAGCTTATTTTCTTGAGCAAAAGGGTTTTGGTTAGTCGCATGGAATGTTTAAAATTTACCGGTGCACACTGTTTATATCAGATATATAAATTTCCGGTTTTACTAATAAATTTCCTGTTCATACGATGGCAGCGTTATATTTTGAATATTTGGACACTTCCAAAAAAAAAACTTTCTCGACCATGCTCGTATTTTTGGAAGTCTGAATTTTGCAAAGTTCCGTGCGTTAAAATTATAAAATCCGCATTACCATTAATAAATAAGATATGGGGTATTTGCCTTGAAAATGACCTTACGGGGACATAGTAAATCATATTATCGAAACTTGATTTTCAAGGCAAAGACCCCATATTCTAAAATAGCTTAGCAGTAGTAAATACAATGATTCTACTTTTATTAGTTCCCGTATAATGATAATTTATATCATCCAAGACGTTATCTAAAGTAATGGTCGAAGCTAAACTACGCGTACATTGTGATATCTCTTCGTTAGATCCTCGAAAAACTTGATAAAGTATTAAAGAACTTAGTTTAAACATAACTAAGTAATCTTTATTAGTTAGAAAAAATTATCAAGAAAATAAATAAAATACTGTTTATCACAATTCTGAATTAAATAACTAATCTTTTTTGAAAGACAAAGAGCCCAACTAATTTAAGCCGATATTAATAAAAATAATTAATAATTATATAAAGGTCTATAAGTAAAATAAGACATTATTGTACATGAAGAAAAAGCTAGTAATTGTTTTCTATATAATGTACATATTATTAAAAATTATTGCCAAATAATTCAAGGTGTCATCTCATCAAATTTTTTGAAAACAGCATGCATGATTTTTTCAGATATACCAGGATCTTCTCTTTCTGCATCCTCAAAGGCTTTTTTCAAGGTATCCAACGTGGATTGGGCTTTTTTGGATGGTGCATTTTGGCGCAACTAATGCACAAAAAAAAATAAATAAATAAATTAAGGTAATAAATTCAGTGTTTAACCTTATATCATTTCATCAAAAGCTTAGTAAGTTAAGAATCCTAGCATACATTGTCTATAGAAGGTACAATGACCTCATTAAAAACCGCAGGACCAGTTACAGGAGAAATTTCATCATGGTTTTGGTCAGTATCCCCATAATCTTCCACATTTGCCATATTGACATATTTTATGGTGTCATAACCAGAGTTATTAGATTTCGATACCTGATTTAACATCAATGCAAGCTCGTCAAAAATTAAAGTCCAAATAAATAGAAATATAATTCATATTGGTTTAATAAAATAAATGCTATACCTGTTTTCCTTTGGCTGGTCCAATTGTGGCATTATCCCCAGAGTAGGTTTCATCATCCGATGATGTAGAAGAACCTGAATTTGGAAACTCCCAATCAGTATCCTCCGCATCCTTGTTACTAAAAAAAAAATTCAGCTAAAAAGTTTAAATAAGAAATTAAATGAAACAAATAAAAAAAAGTAGATTACCCGTTCTCAAAATAAACTGATTCATCTGAATCGTTCTGATCTCCACCGTCCGCCAACCATTTATGGTAACGCTCAATCAATTCCGTCAAATAAGTAGCCCTCTTTGCACTCTTAATAAATTTATGTTTAAGTAGTTCTTTTGGAGATGGCCGCTGTTTTTTTTTTCAGGTTAACACGACATAGAATCAAACGATCAGAAATTGATTATACAAAAATATTAAAATGCCAAATTTACATACGTTGTTTGGGTCTTTGTCCAAGCATAGCGCGACAAATTCTTTAAATGGTTTAGAAAATATGCCATCCTCTAAAGAAGGTGGTGAATCTTTAGGAATAAGAAAAAGAACTTTCATTGGATGAAGATCCGCATAAGGAGGTTCGCCTTTAGCAAGTTCGATTGCAGTTATTCCCAAAGACCAGATATCGGCCTAATAAATAATCAACATTAATTGCATCTATGAAATTTATGAAATAATTAATAGAATTTTAATGTTTACCTTAAAATCATACCCTGATTGTTGAATGACTTCGGGTGCCATCCAATACTATCACATGACAGTTTATGTGAGTTACAAAGAGTACTATTAAATAATATCAATGAGTTAAAATCTTACCGGTGTTCCAACGAAAGTATTCTTCTTTGTTAAAGTTGCTGTGATCTATAATTAAGGTTTATAGATATATTATACATTCCATAAGAAATACCGAATAAATGATACGATAATACTAACTTGTCCAGAAACCCCAAAATCTGCTAACTTAACTAATAGACAAATTCCAATAAAAATGTGCCAATGTTATAATCGAAATAAAAATTGTTACTACATTCTTTCAAATAGCAAAACTATTCATACCATCTCCAGTAGAACTTAAAAGAACATTTGCCGCTAAATGATACCAACATAATGATCAATAAATTTAAATAACTATTTATAATTAAAAATCTAATACTGTGTCTTTATTCCAAACCTTTTATATCTATAAGAAAAAAAGGAATTAGATAAGTGATATAAATAAATTTGAGAAAATTTTAATAATGAGGAAATTAAACCTCTGTGAAGTTTGTGTTCTGAATGAAGATAGTCCAATCCTTTTAATAATTCCCGTAATATGATTGCTACATATTCTTCTCTTAAAGCACCTGGCTTCATCTTATAATATATCAAAAATATAATAAGAATTATGTAAAGGCGAAAATCACGTGATTTGTCCCATTTTCGAAAATTTGATGCTTTTTGAATTTCTGCATTTTGATTGGCTAAAATTAATTTATATTTAAAATTAATTTTTAATTTTTAAATTAAAATTAAAATTAGCCAATAGCAGCAAGCTAAAACATGTGACTTGTCCATTTTGAGTACGTATCATATAAAAATACTATACTTTTAAACACATTAATTAAAAAAATTATAATGATTTTTTAAGAAATAAAGCCACTAAGTTGTAGTAAATTAGTTAAACTACAAAATAGCGGTTTATCTTTTGTGATATTGTTTTATATAAAATATTATTAACTTTTAAAGTTTGTGAAGCCTTTAAGTGTCCCGCACTATAACACCGTAAAAAACTCGAAATAACGGGCATGGGCGTTAATTCGAAAATCGGGAACCCTAAAAATATTATAATGGTTTCGAAATAACGCCCATGCGTGTCTCTAAATAACGCGCACCTCTACCGAGCGTTAATTGATATTTTATTATTTGTTACTAATTGGCGTTACTTTGAAAAAAATGGGTTTGGAAATTAACCCTTAATTCGAAACAACGCACATGGACGTACTCAATATAACGCGCAGATGCCCGTTATTTCAGAGTTTTTACGGTACAAAAATAGGCAATTATTATTTACTTACTAAATCGGAACAAGATCCTCCAGAACAGTATTCCATAATAATCCATAAATGAGTTCCTTTGAGAAATGAACCATAATATCTTATTCATTATAATAAAGTATTTTAATATCATTAGCTAAATAAAAAAAAATCTATTAGAAAAAATGAAATTATAATGTGAATAATACCTAGTGACATACTGTGAATCCAATTGTGAAAGAATTTTTATTTCTTGTTGAATATCTTCAATTTCATCTTCAGCATCTTCAAGATCAATTATTTTGATTGCTACAGGTTTTTTGGATCTCTTATCAAAACTGTCATAACGATAAAAACAATAATATTTATATAGATGCAAATGTTTTAAGGTAATCATTTTTCCTTATATTTATAAATTGTTGAGATTCTAAAGTTGGGTCCGGAATCCAAACCTTCCTAAACTCTTTAGGTTTAGGTTATAGTAAGTTTGAATTTGATAATATATCGTATTTATATTTTTACTGAAATTCCTAATTGATGCCATAATATATTTAAAAATTTTATATATGCCAACTAATGTGATATATGTTTTAACATTTGGAAGACGTTTGGGTTTTAGCATCATTTGGGATTTCCTACATTGGTTTGAGTTTCGTAGTTGTAGTCGAAATCCAAAATGAAGTTTCGGCATCCTTTTATTTGAGATTCTTGGGCTCTCGATAAAAGGACATTAATAACGAGCGAGTAAAAAAAAAAAAAAAAAAGTGCAAATTTTCTAACAATAAATAATTCTCAACAATAGTCTCAACAAGATTCAAATATGTGACTAACAAAAGTAACACTTGAATCATCATGGTAATGGAAAATCATAATGAGATGCAATTAATGTCTTACCCTTTGAATACTTCACCAAAGGATCCTTTTCCTGTCGTTTAAAGCGATAATTTCAAAAAATGTTACAGATATCCAATACATACATATGTTTAAGTTGCAGTAAACAAGATTAGTCTTACCTATTCTATCTTGTTTTACGTAGTAATCCTCGGGATCTGCTTGAATTGAGGAACTCTTTTCATTTCAATGCATAAAAAAAATGTGAATTCTCGGTTAGAATTTCATCAGTAGAGTTTATTAATTATCTAGAAAATCAAATGATTATTACCATCACAAGTGTCAAATATAAAATATATCAACAGTCACGAGTAGAATACTAGAGTTTTTTAGGAAAATGAAAAAGAGTAGATAGACGTGTTTTAGGGTGACGCGTGAAGGTATAAATATATGAAAAGAAATTTCACCTACATATTAACAAGATTAAATTCAGGGGCGCTCAGGGGTGGAATGCAGATTCTCTTTGTACCACTGGCTTTCATTAAGAATATACAAATGAGTTTCTTTTAGGATTAGCAACTTTTTGCACAAAAGATGATCAAGCTTCTATTATCTATAAGTAACAGAAATTTTGAAAATCAAAAACAGTTCATTGCGTTAAAAGGATAAATTTACAGATCGTAAAGTGAATGTAGTTCTTTATAAATATGCATTCTTTGTAACATTATTCTAATATTTGTTAATATACGTACTGTACGTACGTATGTACGTACAGTACGTACGTAGATTATAAAAAGAACGAATCGTACGTATACCCTATACATAACGAAAATCTTGTCATTGGCTTTGTCAGTAGCACAATATTGTAAAAATGCGTATCTGTGCATACGAACAGTACGTATGCCCACCTTTGTCCCTATGTTAGTTATAGATGTGTGCCTAATTATTTTTGAAAAAAAGTATTTTCGGCAAACATTTCGGCATTGCTACATTTGTTATATGAAACCTTCCGAAATAACTATACGATATGACGTATTTTGATAAAAAGAGTTCAAAGAATTTCGGCAAGTATGAAAATTAATTTCGGCAACTATCGCTTTAAAAGACTATTTCGGCTGACTAAATGCCTGTAATTATTTTTATTAAGATGAACAATTTTGCACACATGTATAGCTCAAATATGTTATTTTAAATTTTATAAATAAAATAGGTTACGTACTTAACATGCGGGTGATAATTAATTTACAATGTCGATTTTTATCCAATGCCTTACTATGATAAACTTATTGATTTATCGTTATATTTATAAGTTAACCTAGTTTAACATTGTTATTGCCTGCTACCTAAGCAATAACATGTGCGGGATCCTAATCGCTCAACATATCCGCCAATTTGATCTTTTTTTTCGATAAACGGTTACACAGACTATCGAATAAGTTACATGAAAACAACTAACGAAGTACTCAATAAAAGAGCATATTTAGTCCACGTATGAAGTAAATAAGAAATAAATACAAGTAAAACGGCTATGATAAGCTGTAAAAGAAAGCACTGTCACTATTTTTTGAGACGTCCGGATATTTTCGGGTAGTGAACGATCGGTTGTATAATGGGTAAGGGTAAATTCGGAAGCAAATTTTCAGGAAAATGGCCTTGTTAACTTACTTTCAACCTATAAATTCTATATATTAAATAGATTCAAAGTAAGTTTAAAAGGTCGTTTTTATGACAACTCACTTTGTATACAAATTTTAAACAATGTTATTCTTCGTTATGATTGGCTGATTTTGGGGTCAAACCATATCAGTTAAAGAATATGTGATATTTGAGGGTTTTGTAGTAGAAAGAATCCAAACTCTATTATCAATTTTGAAATAATTAAAGTTAATATTTTGAAGATATTTTAACAACTTTTTAACCAAATTCAATAAATTATTTTATTTTTTTTATTTTTTTAACAATCTTGTTTGTTATTTTTATTAGGAAAAGCTTATATGAGTTACAAAGTAAATTACTATTTAAACTATAATAAAGTACTCTTCTTCAACTATTTTGGACTCATTTGGCTACTTTAAGATACTCAAGTATAATCTGCTATAGCAACAATTTTTCTCACAAGAGCTTTAGTTTGTATATACAAACTCTTAGTTTTGGATCAGTAAGAGATTGTTATTAGTCTTTATCAAGATTACTTATTTTGTTTTGATTTTGATTTATTTTTCTTTTCTACTAGTTCTCATCTATTTGTCAACTCTATTTAATACTTCCTTTTGAATTTTTGCTTCATTTTCTTTTAATCTTTCTTTTTTTATATTAAGAGATTACATATTTTCTTTGTTTTAATTTCTTTTTTGTTTTATTTTTTCTTCTTCTTTTTTTCTTTTATTGTAATATTGTTCTCTTTTTTTTATTCTACTTTAATTTCATACTAAAACTTTTATAGATATTCATAGAAGCATTCCTAAAAATATTTTGTAAAGCTAGCTAAAACCTTGCTTACTTTATTTTTTAATTAAGTTATTTTGCTTAAACAGATTAGCTATTTGGTATTTGTGAATTCTCTTAAGTATATTTTTTTGTTATATTATTTTCTTCTAGTTTCATACTATAGATTGCTTCTTTTAGAGAATAACAAGTCTAGTTTTATTATTATTTCTAGACTTGTTAGTTGTATAGCTTCTTTCTTTAGAATTTTTTAGATTTTTTAATAAATCTTATATTCTGCTAAGTGGTAAAAAGTTTTATCTTCTCTGAAACATATTATATACTTTTAGCTTTTATATAACTTAGAATTTCTTAAATAATAAATATTTTTTATAAACAAAATCTTATTTATATATTTTATATAAAACTTGAGTATTTTATTTTTTTTCAGGCTAATACATTTTTTCTTTTATATTTTATTAAGTAAATTCTATATAATCTTCTAGTTTAACTTAGTATAAGAGTTAGTATCTTAGTTATATATTGTGATTTCAGCTACTCAACTTAGATTTGCTCATTCTGTCTTATATATTGTTACTATAATAATATATATAAAAGATCCAAGAAGACTTTTAATTGCTTGACCTTTCTATCTAGATATAGCAAATAAATTGCTAGCTACTGTTTCTAATATAGTTAAACTAAAAGGTTTATTTATTTTTTTCTTAGCAAGTCTATCTGCTTAATTATTTTATTTGTTTCTGCTATAGCTTTTGACTTTATACAGTACCAAATTCAGATTTTTTGTTTTGTAGTAGCTCTTAATTTGTCTTATTATACTTCTATTTTTTATTTTAAACTATTTATATATTTTATTATTTGTATTATATTTCTTTATAACTTCTATTGCAGATTTGCTATTAGTAAATAGATATGTTTTAGCTTTATATAGTACTATAAATAAAGCTAACTAGATAGCTTCTAATTTTGCTCTAGTTAAGAAAGACTAATTCTTTAAACTATTACTAAAACTAATATTTTTATCTACTAAACTCTCCTTTTTAACTATCTAACTAATATTTATTCTATCTGTAGCTACTCTTCTACTATCACTTTTTAATGCTCTATTTGTATAATATTAGATTACTTTTTTTTTTTTTAGTTTCTCATATATATTTATCAAATCTTCTTTTAGTTTCTTTTTCTTAATTAAGTTCTAAATAATTGTAGATTCTAGACTATTTGCTATAATTTCTAGTTTTGGCTTTTGTTTAAAGTTGCTATTAATGATTACTTTTCTAGTTTTTATAACTACTAATATTAGTACTTTTAGTATAAAAGTTTTTTCATCTTTTTTTAATATATCTACTACTTGATACTATTCTTTGTAGTAAATGCTAATTAAATAATTATTGTTATTGAAGCTCTGTATACTGCATCTTTTATATTTAATAAATAATTAATCTTCTATTATATATTTATTTTCTTTCTAGTATAAAATTATTATATTTTTTCTTGTTTTCTTTATGTTTTACCTATATATAATTTTTCTTCTTTTTTAAATAAGATCTACTTTTTTTTTCCTTTGTCTTTAGATATTTCTTTTGACTAGACTTTGTTTATACTTTTATTTGATCTTTCTGTTTTATAGATATTAAGTACTTCTTCTAAGCCTTTTTTTTTTTAAAGTTTTTTCTTCTAGCTTTATAAACTAGCTTGATATCTATTTTTTTCTTTTTTTTCTTTTATATACTTTACTTATTACTAAATTAGTAGTAAACTTTCTAAGTTGTTTATCAGCTGTTCAAAAGTAAAAAGATTTATTTTGTCTAAGTTTGTAAAGAATAGAGACTTTTTATTACTTAGCAAACTTGTAATTATTGTTCTTTTCAAATTAAGTGCCTTTGGGTTTTCTGTAAGCTTTTTTATTTTTATATCTAGCTTTACTACTTTCTGAAGTATTTTATAACTAGGTTGATTTAAAGACTACTTTGTTAAACTTGTAGTTTTTGCTTATTGAGCTACTTAGATATTTGTCTTGTAACTACTCTTCTTTAATTCTCAATCTAGTAGTTTCACCTAATATATTTTGCTAGTTGATATATATTGTTAGCTTAGTAAAATAATATATAAGTTAGTTTT